TAATCCCTATAGAAACCCCTATACGATTCCCAGGCTAATGAATAGAAAGCTCGTGTATAGAATCGCCGGATTTCTATACCTATTTCTCTCGAGCGTATAGGAATAATTCGTATAGAATAATCCCTATAGAAACCCCTATACGATTCCCAGGCGAATGGATAGAAACCTCGTGTATAGAATCGCCGGATTTCTATACGCATTTCTCTCGAGCGTATAGGAATAAATCGTATAGAATAATCCCTATAGAATCCCCTATACGATTCCCAGGCGAATGGATAGAAACCTCGTGTATAGAATCGCCGGATTTCTATACGCATTTCTCTCGAGCGTATAGGAATAAATCGTATAGAATAATCCCTATAGAAACCCCTATACGATTCCCAGGCGAATGGATAGAAACCTCGTGTATAGAATCACCGGATTTCTATACGCATTTCTTTCGACCGTATAGGAATAAATCGTATAGAATAATCCCTATAGAAACCCCTATACGATTCCCAGGCGAATGGATAGAAACCTCGTGTATAGAATCGCCGGATTTCTATACGCATTTCTCTCGAGCGTATAGGAATAAATCGTATAGAATAGAAATTCACGTATAGAATGCGATGAAAACGTATTCGTATAGAACAACTTCGTGTAGAAAATTTTCGTATAGAAAAGTCCGAATATCATATACGAAAAACCTATAGAAATCGTATAGGATCATTCTATACACAATTCGTATAGAAAAGTTCTATACGATTTTTTCATACGTGCAGCACCAGTCAGGGACCTAGTCGATGATCAACCAAGATGCTCACATGACAATGCTGAAAAGCCAGCGGTATCGAAACGAGTCCTGAGTGACAATGTATCCTATGGTAAAAGAAAAATTTTTTTTTTCATTTTTTTTATGACGATTTGGCAATCTATTTTGTTTGATTGTTCAAAACACGAATTCTTATGAGCATTATCCAAGGATTGTCGATTTTAAAATTTCACTAAGGCCCGGTTGCACCAACCCCTGTTAGGCGAATTTAACAGCCTATGATACTAACAGACTGTTAAAATTTATCTGTCCAGTAAAATTATTGGGTTGCACCAAAAATTTTACTGGTCTAGTATCTCCCCAGTAAACCACACAGTAAATTTGAGGATATATTTAAGTACTTGTTCCAGTTTGATACAGATCACATTATACATTCAGAAATTTTCGGGATGGGTGCAACTGAACACAGTCAACTGATCACGTTTGCAACTGGCCACAGGTTTTTCAATTCCGGCAATTGGCCACAACATCAAATACTCGATGGTGATCCGTCACCGTTATTTGGACTTAGTCTTCTTTATCGACGGAATCGTTCGATCCTTATGTTTAAGAGATGGCGTTGATATGTCTAAAATTATAAAACATCACCAGATCATTAAATAAACATTGCCCCCGTAACTGAGCCACCATTGATTGAAAAACATCGCAGAAACCTCGTACAATGATCGGATAAAGATCCAACAATAGTTATCGTACTGTGCTCTCCACAATTATCAGGCATAAAACATCACTATATCATCGAATAAATATCCCCTTTTATTCGAATCATTACTCCTTGAAAAACATCGCATAAACCTCGCCGAATGATCGCACAGAATTTCAATAACTATCACATTGAAATTTCGGCAATTATCGAACAGAAAACCTCACCATATCATCAAACAAACATTACCCCCGCATCTGAGCCACCATTGTAGAACATCGCAGAAACCTCGTACAATGATCGTAGACAGATCTAACAATAGTTATCGTACTGCACTCTCCACAATTATCAGCCATAAAACATCACTATATCATCGAATATATATCCCTGTTTTTATTTGAACCGTTACTCCTTGAAAAACATTGCATAAACCTCGCCGAATGATCGCACAAAATTTCAATAACTATCGCATTGAAATTTCGGCAATTATCGAACAGAAAACCTCATCATATCATCAAACAAACATCGCCCCCGCATCTGAGCCACCATTCATTGGGGAACATCGCAGAAACCTCGTACAATGATCGTAGACAGATCTAACAATAGTTATCGTACTGCACTGTCCAGTTGACATAAAACATCACCATATCATCGAATAAATATCCCCTTTTGTATTTGAACCGTTACTCCTTGAAAAACATCGCATAAACCTCGCCGAATGATCGCACAGAATTTCAATAACTATCGCATTGAAATCTCGACATTTATCGAACAGAAAACCTCACCATATCATCAAATAAACATCCCCCTTGCATCTCAACCACCACTCCTTGACAAATATCATATAGACCTCGCAGAATATAATAACTATGGTACTGGAATTTCAGCAATTATCGAACAGAAAACCTCACTATATCACCTCACCTCACCCCCGCATCTGAGCCGCCATTCATCCCGCATCGAACACAATATATATCAAAATATATGAATCCCATGATTCCATATTATTCATACATGATACACATATAAGACGTATACATGATTCATATNACAATATATGTCAAAATATATGAATCCCATGATTCCATATTATTCATACATGATACACATATAAGACGTATACATGATTCATATATGAAATTTATATACATCCAATATACATGCAATACATAGATTACATATATTTTTGCAGATATTTTTGTACATATGTAGCAAAATGTACAAGTTTTTCATTGGACTCATATATAATACATACATTATATTCATTACATATATATCTCATATATTTTGAACATGTATTCATTTCCATGGGGGATTGAAAAACATCGCAGAATGATCTTTCAGAATTTAAATAATTATCGTACTGGAATTTCGGCAATTGTCGAACAGAAAACCTCACCATATGATCAAACAAACAACGCCCTTGCATTTGAGCCACCATTAAAAAACATCGCATAAACCTCTTACAATGGTCGCAAAGAAATTGAGTGATCATCGTATTGGAATTTCGGCGATTGTAGGACCCAAAACATCACCATATCATCAAATAAAAATCCCCCTTGCATTTGAAGCATTACTCATTGAAAAACTTAACAAAATGATGGCATAGAATTTTAATAACTATCCTACTCGAATTTCGGCAATTGTCGAACCGAAAACCTCATCAAACAAACATCACCCACGCATCTGAGCCGCTACTTATTGTAAAACATCGTAGAAACCTCGTACAATGATCGCAGGGAGATCTAATAATTATCGTACTAGACTCTCGACAATTGTCGAACCCAAAACATCACTAAATGATCGAAAAAAGTTAAGACTGAGCAGTGATGTAACTCTCTCAGCTGATCACTGCCTTCACTTGCCTTTCGGCCACCAGAGTGGAGACGTGCAATTTACATATCCCGACTGGACCGTGGGAAGAAGTTTTATCAGGGAAGAACATTACTATAACATCGAAGAATTCTCGTACTGGACTTCGAGTGATCACTTATCAGAGAACATTCCTGGTCAATCATCGAATTATTGAACACTCATTGTACTGAACTCTGAGTTGTTTTTTGAGGGGGAACATTACCATAGCATCGAAATTTTTAATAGCTAGCAGTTGACAAAGATCGAAAAACCTCGTAGAACTATAATTTAGGACTGAAGGCAGAAATGTAGAATTGAATATCGTTAAAACATTGAACAAGTCTCGTGATGGTTCCTCGGCATTAGTTGAATCCAAAATATCGCCTTTCTGTTGCATAAATGTCACGGTCAGATTTGAGGATTCACTTATTTCGAAAAATTACCCAGATTTCGTAGGGCTATGGAACTCTCTTCTAGACAGAGCAGAGCATTTCATGCATCAAAATCACCAAAAAATTTAAGAATTATCGTACTGGATTTGTTCTTTCTTTTGGTAAATTGCCAAAATCTCCTTGCATTACTGCACGCAATTCAAACCGGGACTTCATCACAGAAGATGACTTGAACATCGAATAAATATTTCGCAAAGTTCTGGGGACCCAAGATTTATATCATATGTTGATAAGCAATTTATTCACATGAGCAATTTATTTACATAAGATGGTCAACAAATTATCGACCAACTACTACCGTTGGACTGTAAATATAGTGAACCGGAGAGTTCTGAAACTCAATGAAAACACAGAATAATATTTTTAAATGGATGAGTGCACTGAATTGAGCGAGAAGGGGGGGGGCAGAAAAGAACCTTTATCAATCCGAGAAATCGCCTTCATTCTAGTTTTATTGAATCTTGCCGGCAATCAACTTATTTGATGTAGTAATAGATGGTGTGGAGGGTTCTGGATGGAATTGCAAATCGGATGAAGTGCTTATGTATGACCTGCAACAGGTCGATTTTTCGGCTTAAATAAATCCATTCGGTCGGCTTCAATCAAGTCCATGTCGACTTGTGACGTTCTTTCTTGGAATAATCAACTTTTCAATTGACAACAACAACGAAATCCGCATTGGTGAAATTATTAGATTTATACTACTTGAAATTGGTCAAAAATGAATCGCAATCACGTCGACGTCTATTTGGATTTCTGCGCTTGAATGGAGAGGTATTCCAAACAATATCATCATCACAACGTTTGCATGACATTATTTATTAAAAAAATACAAAAAATTAAATGTAAGTGATCTACAAAACATACAGTAGACTGATCCATTACAACTTGTTCTGCACATTAGAAGGCACTTTTCTGGACTCTACTTGGAAGAGAAACATCAAAAAATGGTAATCATCATTCATTCTTCTTCACCTTGTCCACTGACTGTCGTTTCTCTCTCGACTTATTTTTATTTCGGTCCTTGACCAACTTGTTCGAGACCCACGAGCGAACCTCCTTCGGGCCAAAATTGAACACCGTTTCTGGTGCGATATCTGGGTGGTTCATCGCATTGTCTAGTACCTCTGCGAAATAAGTGTTTCATTATGCAATTTTTTATATGTAATACAAAATTCCCCGAGGTGTGCAAACTTATTGAAAGTCTTATATCCATGAATGGGCAATTCACCCTATACACAACTTGAATTTTCCACAGGGTATGTGTTTCGTCAGCAGTCTTGGCCAGTTGGTAATTAGGATGGCACTGAATCGAACTTCCTTTAACCTGTAGAGTGTACCTCCTTGAAAACACACGGTCTGTCAAATCGCTATTCCGTGCAAAGCGCATTTCCCGTTGATTTCGAGGAATAAATCGATACTAATTGTCACTCAAGGGTTGAACTAAGCCTCAAACCGTGTAGATCACAAGAAAGGATCAAACCAGGAAGGTACAAACGACGAAGGGTCAAACGGGGAAGAGTCGAGCTGAAGAGGCAAATCGTATAATTGAAATCTCGTATTTATTTATTTTTTTCATTTTGGTGTATGAATATCGATTATCATCATTTTTTCATATAAGTCTTATTTTTTACATAAAAATGGAAATCAGTCGTTGAGACATTTTCCATGAAGAATTACACGAATTTAGTGACAAATTTTGAATTTTTTTTTGTAAATTTATAAATAGTTATATATCGTGAAAGCTTTCATAGCGGTCCCACAGGCCAACAGTACACACTAAAGGTTAATCATGTTTTAGATTTCTTTTAATTTTTGTTCGAAATTGATGTAAGGTAAATATGCCTATGCTTCTCCTTGTCCCTATCGCATTGAAACCATTTTCACCGTTTTACGAAATGACCAGGCGTAAAATGCCATTGAATTCATAATCTTCGTAAATTACGAAAGGGATGGACAATAACCAACAGTCATTCGAAGTTCCGTCATAACAATCAGTTATTAGAAGAGAAGAGAGAATAATTATATTCATATCAACTGATTCTACGAATCTGGGAACTCTAAAGTGATAAGTGAGGTACTAATTGAAGTTTTTCATATCCTCATAGCTCCACTGCGTGAGTATAGTGACATCAAAACTCTCCAATAACGATTTGAATACTCAAAAACTCGTTAAAAATCGATCATTTAGATGTGTCATGTTAGAAAATTTTACATAATTACCAAGAATTCCAAATTAGTCAAAAATATAAATTTTATATAAATCAATGCAGGCAAATGAAAAAATCTATTTGCATGCATCCGGTGTCGACTTTCTGCTCGGCAAAATTCATCGCTCGTGGGAACGCTGACTCGAAAATCGAGCAAAAATTTAATAACGCTCCTTATATGGAAGCGAAAAACGAACAAACCCATGTGACCGCTTCAGCTGAAAATTGCAAAATAATCAATTTACCCCATAGAGACAAAATCGACGATTTTCAAAGTCAGTCGCGTCTTAGATGCCAAAAGGGGCACACCAATTAGGCGAACTCCTCGGATAATCACGCGTTCGAAACTTCAGTATCAGAAAACCTGCCTGACGTACAAGTGATCAATTATCCGAGTAATCCCGAAATTTCGCACAATTACGCACACATTCGTAGTGTGATTTTCGGCGAGAAGCGGTCGGCAAACTGCGAATTGTTTGCTACGTTTTTCGCAAAATATAAAGAAAAAGTGCATGGACATATAAGTGACGAGAAAAGACTCAAATCACAAAATTCATAAATTTAAAGATAAATAATATTAAGTGAAAATTCTGAAAGTTAAATCAAACAGTGAAAAACATAATATCAATAGTTCACCATTCGCCCAGAAAATTTTAAATTTCAATTAAGACAAAATTTCAATTATTGTGACA